AGAAAACTTTTAAAGAAAAAAGTTGCTTAAAAATATTTTAAGAGTCTCCAGTTAACCGGTATTCTCACATTTTTAGAATATTCTATATATATATATGCACAGATATTTAACAGAAAAATTTAAATGGAAATAATTAAATATTATTGATTTTATAAAAGAAATGTAAAAAAAAAAAAAAAGAAAAAACTTGCTGTATTGAGGAAAAAATCTAATTATGGTGGAAAGAATTTTTTTTTAAGATTTTCTTCTTCGAAATGTCAGATCAAATTTAAGATCGATAATTTTTTAGATGAAATTCCATATTTTTTATTCTATATTTCGATATTCTTTTAAAATATTACAAAAAATAAAATTCAATCATCTTAATAATTATATTTAATATGATTATTAATGCGAAAAAATTTACATTAAATATTCTCAATATCCAATTATTTATTATCACATATGAGTTTCGGTTTCATTTTAATTATTGAAATAAAGAGTTAGAGAACATATAACTCGATTAAAAACTTATACTCAAGAATTATATTGGTTATGTCTGGCTTGCTATAGATTCACGTTTTTTGAAATATTATATACAACAAAAATTGTTACTCTTATATTAAATTGCGCATTCATATATGCATCCATAATAATATATCAGTATCAATAATATATATGATCATTATCATAGCATATATATTAAATAAAATATCTATAAATTTGTACAAAATACAAAAAATTAGATATAAAATAAAATTGCAAAATATTTATGATATCGATTTTATTAATTATGCTTTTTTTACGAATTCCTAATTTTTTTCTTGATTTTTATTTTTCAAATTTGAAAATTTTGTTATAAATAAATTAATAAATATCAATAATCTGTATCGATAAATATACAAATTAACTTCCATAATTTAGACAGATTTAATATAAAAATAATAAAATGTCGACGATTTTTTTGTAATTGCGAATAATTCTGTATTCAAGAACATTCGGATGAAATACACTATCGTTGATTGTAATCATCTTCGAATTTCTCTCGATAACATGATGTATTGTTATACAAAAATGGCATAAGTCCAATTTTTCATCATAATAGAATTAATAATTATACATTCGCGTTGTATCTCATCATACCTTTTATAAACTATTACTTCAATTCTTTTTAGTTATTCTTTTTATATTATGAAATATAACATGTTTTAAATTTATTTTATGTAATTATTTTAATCACTTTTCTTACGACAATAGTAATTAGTGATTTGATGATAAATTCACATTAGCTATTTTGTTAAAAAGTAGTAAAGTGACTTTAGTATTTTATAGTATTTATGTAATATTATAAAATTATAATATTATAATATGATATTTAGTATTAGTGTTGAGTTTATATATGTAATATATATGCGATTCATATCTTGTATATTTATATATGTCATTAGATGCTATCGCTGTTTTGATTCTGTTTTGTTTGTTTTCCTTTTTGAACTGCCGTACGATGCAATGTAGTAAGCTCAAGACAATACAGCAAAAGTATCGGTACGTCCACATTTATATAACATAATTCTATTTCTTTTATTAAATATTCTTTCTTATTTTTCGTAAAATTATTTCTCAATTTATTCTCTAATAAGTTATGGGCGCAGTATCTTTCGTTGTCATGTAGTAAATGATTTGAAAAAAAAATGCTGTGAAATTTTGTGATTTAGTACGAAGGTTGGGCCAATTAAAAATTAAAATTAAAAATAAAATAAAAATAGCTGAAGCAAAATCACCTTCATTGTTTCAATAGACGAAACTATGAATTGTGGAAACGATAAATGAAAATTTACATGAGAATAAACTAAAAATGTATATCAATGGTTCGATTTTCAAACCTGAAAATAAAGTAGCTATATTATAGATTCAAAAAGATATTGAAGCTCAAATATTTTTTATGAAAGATCTTGAATTTAAATCATTAAATCAATTAAGACATATATCGAATTGTTCTACTGTTGCATAGATGTAGACAAGATTGTGTATCATACGCTAAGAAAAATGATCAACCAATACAAGTACTTTTGTATCAAATTTATAAATGCAAAAATGGATCTGAAAGAATTCTCTGCAGATTTCGAAAATAGTTTCGCTGATACAAAGATATAAAGATATGAATATGAAACAAAAAGATCTTGTTATTATTGCAAAAATTTTATCAAGTTTAACAACAAAATATGATAATGTTTGCACAACTTAGTATTCTGTACCACAAAGGAACATCATAGAACAGACAATTGAGCGATTAACAGATCACTTACTAAATGAAGAAATGCTGTTAAAAATTCAAGATATACAAATATTTTGTGAAGAGACGAAAGAAGAAAGATCTACTATGTGAGAACATCGAAAGTATCATATTCGCCGGAATCTTTATTTTTCGTGATTCTTATGGTTTTGATATAAACATAAAGAGAAATAATATATGTTATTTCTGCACAAAACCCGGACATCGGGTTCGTAATTATACATTGAAAAAGGCATATAAAAAAAGACAATTCTTGATAGTTCAAAAGAATAAAAAAAAAATAAAAATATTAAACATTCTGATTTATTTAGCTATTATTTATTAAGCTGAATTATTTAACGTAGAAAATGTTCCACAAATGAAAGATGAAGATACATGGTTTGCCAATTCGAGTGCGACGGAACACATGTCTTTTAGATAAAAATGGTTCTGGTTTTAGATAAAAACATGAAATTGTACATAGAAAATATATACATGGTTCGCATGGGCGATGACAATACATTGTGTGTTATACAAAGGCAAAGGAGATATCGATGTTGAAGTGATAAATATTAATATTTATACAAATATACGAAATACATGCATCATACAATTGGTAGAGTATTATATGTACCGCGATTAAAGAAAATTTGTTGTCAATCGGATTATAATAATTCGATAATAATTCTGAAAAAAGAATGAATTTTTTATGAACAAAGTGTATATTTCTACAAAAACAATAAATTAATTGTTAAGGAAAATAAATTTAATAACAAATTATATTCATACTTGTAATAGAAAGAAATGTGTTAATGAAATAAAATATTACATCAGAAAATGATATGATTAAGACATATAAATTTTAAAACGACACATGGTAACAAATTCGAGAATGCAAGATTTGAAGATCGATGAAAATATAATAAAAAGTAATATCTTTCATGTAACAAGCAGCATCAAACAACTTTTTCGAAAGAATAATATGCAAGTCAAATATGCAGAAGAAATATTTCATGCCGATCTATGCAATAAAACAAGTTAACCATTTATTGAAGGATCATATTATTTCTTATTGAAAAATGATTACTCAAAGTATTACTTTTTGAAAAAGAAAATAGAAGTTCTCAATTATTTAAAACAGTTTTATGCTGATGTATAAGCAGATGAATATAATATAAAAAGACTGAAAACTGATTGTAGTAAAAAATTTTATAATAGAGCGGTCAAAAATTATTTACTTTCGAAAAACATTAAACATGAGATAATGATATCGCTTGCATCAGAATAAAACGGATTTATCGAAAGACAGAATAGAACAATTGTTGAATTAGCAAAGTATATGTTATATGCAAAACAATTATTGCTATATTTATGAGCTGAGGCGACAACTACAGATATTTACGTTAAATCGGACAGCTATGGAAATCTTAAAAGAATCAACGCCGAAAAATGACGGTGAAAAGCCATATGTAGCACATTTATGAATTTTTAGAAGTAATTGTTATGCTCATATACGAAAAGATCAAAGGAACAAGGAGATAAATTCAGAAAAATATTTGATGAGAAATTACAGCAAAGGAAACAAGCTTATTGATTATTCGATCTTAAAGAAATGTTATATTTATGATATTATTTTTAATGAAAAACTTAAATATGAGCCTACAGAGATAATTGAGTTTATTGATAACAAGACAAATAAAACAAATGTGGAAAGTAAATGGATAGTAATAATGATAAGTAATTGGATAGTGGATAGTAAAAACGATAAGGATGAATCAATTGCTATTAAAGAAAACAAAAAATTCTCGACAATCCTTAATTCAAACGAAATCTTTATCTGTCTCATAGAAATTATTCAATTTCAATAGAAGCTCATTGAAATGAATAAAATATTTTTTGCTGCTTATGAGCCACAAACAGTTCAAGAAATATTAGAAACAGAAGATTATAATAATATATGGATATATTGGATGGAATAAATGGATAGAAGCAATCAACGAAGAATTTGAATTTCTTAAAGAAAATAAAACATGGATTCTAATTCCCAAGACCAAGCAATGTTAATATTATTTTAAATCGCTGGATTTTCAAAAGAAAATATAAAACGGATGGGATAATTTGTAAATACAAGATCAGATTAATCATAAGAGACTATGCAGAAAGATGATATTGATTATAAAGAAATATTCTCAGTCGTGAAATATGATACTTATACATGATACTTAAATTATCTATGTCACTACTATAATGAATCTGGAATTGATACAATTAGATATGAAGATTGCATTTCTGTATGATTTCTATGTGATTTAAAAGAGACTATTTACATAAAGCAATGAACTGCACGAAAGCTTCGAATTACATGATCGTGTGTATTTATTACGAAAGAATTTGTATGGATTAAAACAAGCATCAAAACAATGGAATAAAAGAATCAGTGAATTAATATATGATTTTAATATATGGTTTTACAATCTAAAAATGATATTTGCATGCATTACTTAATTTCAGAAACTTTAATTATGTGTGTGTATTATATGTAGTACTATATGTTGATGATAGTATAATCCGTTGTAATAATCATTTAAAAATGAATGATTTATTTCCTAATCTCAGTCGAGTATTTAAAATAAAATATTCGGAGGTTGAATATTTTGTCGGAATGCAAATAGAAAGAAATAGAGAATTCTGAAAATATTTCAAAAGGCTTTTGCAAAAAAAATATTAAATAAATTTAATCATACAAAATTTATTTTCAGCTTCTGCTGATTCTAATATTAAATTCACTAAGATTTGATACAAACGAAAAGAATGTTGAATCATTCCCTTATAGAAAAACTATCGGTTTGTTAATGTTTTTAATATTGATTACAAGATCTAATCTGGCATTTATCGTGTTAAGTCAATTTGCAGAAAAATCAAATCAAATCAAAAAATTGGAATGGAGTTTAATGATTGAAAAGTATTAATTGTTTCAAAAAAAAAACTATCTCCATTTTTCACGATTTGAAATTTAATGATTGACAAAAGAATTGTTTCCACTGAATTTTAAATACAATCACTTGTCATTTACTTTTTAATTATAAAAGAGAATTTATTTAATTATTAAGAGATTATTAAGAATATTTCAATATTTAAAAAGAATAATAAATTGGTTTAGTTTATAGTCAAGCATTAAATTTTAAGATTCAATTTTAATTGCATATTGTGTGCATATCTATCCATTTAATTACGTAGGCTACAAAGATACTATTGAATAGATTTGTTATTTGAACAGATCCTATGGGGTAATATCACGTAAACAATCAACAATCTCAGCAACCGAAGCGGAATTTATATCTTTGTGTTTGGCAATAAAAGAAGTTACATGATTAAGACGAATTCTTGCAGAGTTGAATTGTTTTCAAAATTTGCTAATGCCGATTTATTATGATAATCAAGCTGCAATTATTTTAGTAAAAAATTCAGAATCACGTAAAAGATTTAAACATATAGATATATAATATTATTTTACTTACGAAAAATGTAAAATAAAAGAAATAGATATTAATATGTTAAAACTGATAAATAATTAGTTAATTCGTTTACGAAAACCGAAGCAAAAATTTCAGAATTTATTATCTCAGAAAGTAGTTCTAAAAGAATGTAAATATGATTTGTCCAACATGAATTATAATTTTATAAAAATATTCGTTGAATGAAAGTATTGAGTTTATATATATAAATAATGCGCGCTTTATATTGTATATTCATGTGTGAATTGAGTATCACTTGAGTATCACACGCCATCATATTATGTAGAATAGTGACAGATTTGACAAAAATAAAAAATGAATCATGCAACATACTTAACCACTTTAAATATTATATTAATTTAATGAATTGCGTAAATTATTAATCAAAGATTTAATTATTACTTTTTTAAACACTTCATGCTAATTCATAAATTATTAATTAGTAATAGCGACTAAAAAAAAAGATTGAACGTAAAAACATTATGCTTAGAAGTTCTGGTATAAAGTACTGCTTTATTGAGGTATGTTCGTTCTTTTATAAAGAGTTTAGAAGTACATAGGAGGGATTTATCGTAATGTTATCATAATTTGAAAAGTATTAATTGTTTCAAAAAAAGAACTATCTCCACTTTTCACGATTTGAAATTTATTGATTGATATAAAAGAATTATTTCCACTAAATTTTAAATATAATCAATTGTCATTTACTTTTTAATTATAAAATTATTAAGGGATTATTAAGGAATATTTTAAAGTATACTATTCTCATGATATTATTAGTAGTTTTAATTAAAATGATTTATTCGTTTGATTTTACTTTTCGTAATAATTCGAATTAATTATTATTATATCGAATAATTATAACGTAACAAGTAATAAAATAGATATATACGTATATTGAGTTTCACAATAATGACAACGATTTGAGATACATTATTATTGAGATATATTAACTATTGTTATATTATATTATATATATAATATATATATAATATATATAATATAAATTTTTATAGACTATATACTATAATAATATAACTAATCTATTGGTGGTCTGATCAATGCATCAATGTACGTTATTTTAATGTATAAGGTCGTCACAATGCATCATTTTTTCCCTTGTTAGATTATTTTTCATCCTTGAAAATCTGAGTTCTTCTGCTTGGTTGGATATCTCCAAATCCTTCGGATGTTATTAGGACTGTTTCATAAAGATCGAATGAGACTGGTCGTGTTGATGTATTCTATTATTTGGCTGTTATACTTAGAATATTGATAATTAATTTGACATACAATGTTTTATAGAAAAAATTATTTTATGTAATATATAAATAATATATAGTAATAATAACCTACAATACATATGATATTATTTAAAGTATTTGAATATCTTGTTTCTTTGAGGGACAATATATAACTTTCGTTTTTGATTTGATTTATCTAAGAATTAATTTCTTTTAATGTTAATCAAAATTGGAAATAATTTTATTAATTGTATTGAAGACTAGAGTTTTGTCTTCTATAAGTTTAAAATCGTAAAAAATTTCATTATCATATATCATATTATATTCTATTTTTAGTTTTCTATTTTAAAATTATAAGTGATATTGAAACTAGAGCTTCCAATTTTCATGGTTAGTCCCATGTCAGTACACAAGGTTCATTATTGATTAATAAAGTGAGTTTAGATATAGTTATACTCTCGCTATGTTTGCACAAAACGTCAATCATTTATTCAGGAAATGCTACATATGAATTATCTACTATCATCTAGATATAAAAGTTAATTCATGGCTTTTAAATAGTGTTATTTCACACAATCTTATTTTTTCAATATGATATAATATATGATATAATATATTATATCATATTAATAATATGATATAATATAATATGATATAATAATTCTAATAAGCAATCTTTCGAACCTATTTTTGAGTGACTGAATTGAGATAATTTGCAAACTCTTAATGTTGAAGTTTGTGTACAGTTTCTGTTTATATAGTTATCGTCTACAGCTATATATTGATCATTGATTCTAAATGCTATATTATTGCATGCAATAGTTACTTCGAATATCTTTCCGCTTTTATGTGGAATTAGATATATTTTAGAAATAGTTCAAGTGTCTTTATATAATATAGATACTATGAAATAATATAACTTATTTCTTTTAATTATTTTATTGTCTAATAGTGTTTGAAAATTTTGTGGTTCTGGTGCAATGTGATTAATGAAATAATTTCGATTTGTAACTGAACGTAGTGCTATAAGAAATTGTTTAGAATCTATAAATTGTAGATTTATAATTTCTTGTTTTAATAATATGATAGTTTCAATAATTTCATTTATTTGTATGTATAATTTTGAAACTAAACATTCTAAATAGATAATTAGGGATATTATTAGATCGTTTGATTCTATATTGTTTTTTAATTTATTTATGTCATTTTCTATGTCATTAATCATTGATAATTTCTTATTGTTCAAAACTTGTTTGATCTGAGCAGATTGATTGGCTATAATTATACATTTTGTTATTACTATTATAGAATTTGTCAATATTTTGATTTATTAAATTAAGATCGTTTTCATCTAATGTGTCAAATAAATTTTTCGAAATTAAAATTATGATATTGGGTAATCTTCTTTTAATTTTTTATAATAAGTTATTAATTTTAATTGATTATACAAATTACTTATTGTAAATCGGTTACTTAGTAGTTTGATTTCTGCTTTAAAGAGGCAATTTTTGTAATAATCTAATCGCTTAATCTATTTATGCTATTGCCTAAATTTTGACTTTAATTAAAGATTTCTTATATGTCTATAATATTAACTACAAAAACTTTACTTGAATAAAAATATCTTTTGCCTATTGATTCCGTCAAAGATGTTTATTTGGCCGTTAAATTTGTTAAGCGTGAAAAATAAACGGCAAACGAAAGGGAACCGATGGTTCTTCTAAAAAATAATATTTAAAAATAATTATGTACGAGTTCAATTTTTCTTCCAATTCTTGATTTGATAATTTGGAGGTTTACAATTTATAATTTCATAGGATCTTAACTACTGAGAAGAAAGAGAGAGTTTTTTTTATAACAATTTTCTAAGAATATATTTGATCTTTTAGTTTAAAAGTGCTTTGAGATAAGATTGTGGAATCTTGAGTTTTTTTGTTTTTTTGTTTACTTTTATCAAGGTTTATCTTTGCTTTATTAAGGTTAAAATTATATTTTCTTTGTCATTGGTATATTTTATCTTTCATTAAAATAAAAGTACTAGATAGAAGATTTGTGAGCTTAAGACCAAATGTAAGCTCGATGTATATTCTGTTGCTTCATGTATTTTGTGTTATATCCTAATATGATAAAATCCAAGATTTTATTATTATCAAAAAGATTTGATCATAATAAATTTTTTATAACTCTGTATGCTCTTTTCAATGAGCCATTAGATTGAGAATGAAAACTAATTATGTTTAATGTCAATGGTTTTTTCAAAAGTTGCTTTCATTTTATTTAGAAAATAAAAAGCTCCTCTGTTTATTATATATTTGGGAGTTGAGAATATAGATATAATGTTTCATCAGGTGTTGGATGATGTTACTAGAATGTTCTTGAGAATTTTTGAGAGGTACTTTATGGATAGTATGAACTCATTTCCTTTTCGTGTTATTGAAAAAGGATCTATTATGTCAAGATTTTGTCGTTTGGTTCGGATAATATATCAGGTATGACGCATTTTCTCTGTTTTCATCGTTATCTTTTGACACATGGAATACTTTCTTATAAAATCATAAATTTTTCTAACTTCGAAAATCTTTTTCTAAATTTTTCCAATTATGATTTTCAGAAATTCTCTTAATTATATCATTGATATATCCAATAATATTATTGGATATATCATTTTTCTTTAGAATTGTCAATTTTTCTGCATTAGTATATTTTCTTTTAAGGTTTATACAAAAAGTTATGGATTGATTTGGATATTTATAAGCTATGAAATTTAGCATTGTTCGAATGATATTTCGTTATTTATTATTATTTTTATTTTTATTTATTATTATTTTTATTAATTTTTTCATCATTGATTCCTATTATTAACTTATAAAATTTATTAAGTACTAATTCATGAAATCGCGTCAATCGTCTCCTTATCGTAGTCATTTAATTCTTGTAATGTTATTTGATCATACGTTTCTAAATTAATTTTTTCTTTGATCATATTAACAAGAATTGCTCTTGTTTTCAAGTTAAATAGTCTATGTAAAAATCTATTATTACTGCGTAGAAATTTGCAGGTAATTTCTGATTTAATAGTTCAATTAATGTTTTTATTTTATTATTAGATACAGAATACAGTACATCGTCTGGAATAGGAGGATTTTCAGATAGTGTTTGAAAATTCATTGGAAAAGGTACTTGTTCACTTGAGAAATTTACTGTAAAGTTTCTGAATTTGAAATTAATACATGTATTCAAGATAAGACAATATCTTCTTTTTCTCTTTTATTTCATTTCATAATTATATTTTTCCAATCCGAGTCGTTATCTCATCAACTTAAAAAAAAGGACTTTACGTTTTGTAGTCACTTAAGGACTTAATGATTTGTTTATATAAGAAATTTTCTGCCTAACAGATACTATCTGAATCGCTTTGTATAATTGCTCATACAATTGCCAATAATTTCTTTTCTGATATATTAGTATAATTTTTCTCTGATATTAAATGTTCGAGATATATAACAACATGAATGTTTTGGCAGATAATATTACTTCTAATCCTTTATTGCTGGCGTTAGTTAAGGTAAATATTTTTGTGAAATCGGGATATTGTAATGTGGTTGCATTCTTTTAATGAGAGAGGTGTTCTTTTAATGTGTTAAATGCTAATTGTTGTTCGTCGGTCTAATGAAAGAATAAGTCTTTTTTTATATCCATTAATAGTTTAGCGCTTTTTGAAAAATTCCATATAAATTTGGAGTAATATCCAGCAAGTCCGAGAAATAATTTTATGTTGCGGTTTGCGGAGTTTTAAATTTTTTTATTATTTGAATCTTTTTAGGATTTGGTTTTATTCCTTCCAGTTATAACTGCTGGTTTAAATATTCTAACTCAAATTTAAGAAATTCATATTTGTTAGTTGAATTTTAAGTTTTAGATCTTTTAATTTTTGTAATGCGCAAGGATTTGGTTATGCTTCTGGATATGTTATCGAAAATAATTATAATTATAATATCGTTCAAACAATCTCTGAAAGCCATCCTATCAATCTATGAAATATGGTATCCATTATTCGTTGAAAGTCGCGGATGCGTTTTTGAGCCTAAAGAACATATGATTATAATGAAAATGTCTTTGTGATGTGGAAAAGATAATGCATTTTTTTGAATCGGGATGGATTTGATGAAATCCAGATGACAGATCTACGACATTAAAAAATTTTGCATTACAAAATAAAAAATAATCTAGAATTTCATCAAAGCTAGGTAAAAGATATGCGTCATGCTCAATTTGCTCATTTAGTTTACGGAAATTTATTACTATCTGCAATTTACATTTTCTTAAAGTATTCAATTTCTTGAGAATGATCCATATAAGTGCATTAAAGGGGGAAATCAGATTCTTTTATTATTTTTTTTTTTTTGTTTAAGATTTCATTAATTTGAATTTGAATTTTCTTTTTGTGACATTCTTTGATTTGATATTATCAAATTTGATATTATCATTTGATATGATTTGATATTAATAAAATTAATAGGTTTAAGATTTCTAAGTTATTTCATATTGAATTAGATTAATACAGACCAACTTATTATTGTTAAGATTTAATACGGAATCGTAGGAGACTAAGATTTTTTCAATATTTTCTCGATATTGTTCATCTATGTACTTAATACGAATTTTAAAAAAAAATTTAGAAAAGTCAAAATTATTTTGATTGTTTTCAATAGAGTTATTTATATCTATTTCTGACTCGCCAGTGTTTATGAAAAAAATTGTTGTAAATCTGTATTGTTCAGATATCTGGTTTCCTTATATATTTGTCCTGAATTAATTTTCTTTATATCCTGGAAGAGAATTGTAATTTGGTTTAAGATATTATATTGGAGAGCATTATTAAAGATATTATATTGGTAGTTTAAAAAAAATGGGAGTCCTTTGATTTCATTTTCAATTGATAGAAAATCATCAGGAATGATATAGAATAGATTTGGTTTTTGTTGGCAAAGAATAGTGATATGAAGGCTAGCAGTATATCATGATCCATAAAAAACTTTTTTTTTTCTTCTTGTTTGACTGGTAACTTTTAAAAATTTTATAATATGTTGATAGCTGCATGTGTCGATTAATATTCATCCTCCTGTCATTCTTGGTAATTTACATTAGATTGATAACAATTCATTTCAATCATTGATGCAGTTGATTTTTAGTAACTGTGTGTCCTTGCCACACTTAAAATATTTCATTTCTAAGCTAAAGAAGCTCTGGAGAGAGGTAAGATGGGTCTCTGGCTTACATTAGTTCTCGATATAGATCTGTTATTAGTAATTGCTCATGACTACGTTTAAGTGAACTCGGTTTATGTCCTTTAAGAATAGTTCCATCTCGATTGCCATTGATTGTGCTTCAGTTAGAATTCTTTAGTTTATTAGATATTACTAATGTTCCAAGATCTTTTTTCAAATTCATTAGATAAGTTCTGATTTTTTCATCTTCTTTCTCTTCAATCGCAATTCTTCTGCTAATAGGTTACTGATGTTTATTCTGAACTACATATATAAGTTCATTTAATTATTGTCTGAAACGTACATTAAATCATTTCAGTGAAACCTTGTTTAATGAACCGTAATTTATTTCTGCAGTTACTTGAATGTAATCGGAATTGGAATATTGTGTGTTAGGACATCATAAAGTTTCTGGAATATCTCTATCCTTATATATCTGATATTTCGTTTTGAATTGTCTGTTATTTTTCAATTATAATTATTTATAAGTTTTAATAATAATTCTTTTTCACTACACAAACCACAAATAAATTCCATTGATTTTATGAAATTCTCTACTCCTATATTATCTCTATGAATGGCTTTAACTTGTGAATTGTTTCTCATTGATCTTTCTATTTGTTGTGCTGTATGCATTTCTTCTTCTTCTTGAGTCACTACATTCGATATTTCCGGGAAAGCTCGTTGATTCATTCATAATGGATATGTCTTTTAACAGATTAAACAGGTAACTCTCAATTGTTTTGTTATTTTTTTTATTTCGTTAACTCTTTTATTATTTTCTTCTTTTAAGATAAATAATCTTTTTCTAATTTCTAAAAATTTTCTAAATTCTAACTTATAAATTCTAAAGTCTAAATTCTGAAGCTTATTCAGAATTTAAAGTATCATCGTCGCTTCTACCACCAGTTATAGTTATTATGATTGAGTCAATTATCTTTCGAGAAGTAGAAATTAGATATTTGGAAAATTTCGATATAAATTAAATCGCAATTTTACCTCAGATTTTATCATTCTTCCAGTGAATATATATATATATATATATAATATAGCCGTGGCCTTTCTTTCAAGTTGTCGCAACAAATCATCGTGAAGTTTCTTCCTAATTGATTATCTTGGCAGGATCGCCAAAATGTCACGTAGAATAATGACAGGTTTGACAAAAATAAAAAATGAATCATACAACACATTTAATCACTTTAAAGTATTACATTAATTTAATGAATCGCATAAATTATTAATCAAAGATTTAATTATTATATTTAAACATTTTCTACTAATTCATAAATTATTAATTAGCAATAGCGAAAAAAAAATTGAACGCTTAGAAGTTAGTGATAGTGACTGATGTTTTATTGAGGTATGCTCGTTCTGTTAAAAAAACTTTAAAAGTACATAGGAGGAGTTTATCATGATGCGTTATAATCGCTGTTTCGATTCTGTTTTGTCTGTTTTTTGAATCACTGTGCGATATGACATAGTAAGCTCAGGATAGTATAGCAAAGTATAGCATTGGCAATATCCACATCTATATAACATAATTTATTCCTATTTCTATTATTCCTATTATTTATTAAATATATTCTTTCTTGCTTGCTATTACTTTTGGTAAAATTATTTCACACCTATTTGCTAGTAATTATTAGCTTAATTTTATATCTGGAACAAGTTTTAAGACCTCTTGAATGAAGTCTGTTCCGATCACTAATTTTAAAGAATATTATAATATATATAATTTTAACGATATATATTATATAATGTTCATTAATATCTTTATTTTTTTTTATCTTCGTATCCTTCATCGGTTTAATTATCGATGAAAATATTGATTATTATCAAAAGATACTTGTTTTTTCATTTATTGCATTCTTATGTAATCAATATACACGATATTAAACAGACATTAGCGTATTTCTTAACAAAGGAACTTATGTTGATGTTATATTCAATAGTCTCATCTTCAACATCAAAATAGCGTTCTATATATTATATATGCGAGGATGTCGAACTTGAAAACATGCAATTTCGACATCTTTTTGAAATAATAATCTCTCAGCTTCTGTCCCGAAAATACATAGTTGGCGGTTTTAACAATTTTCCAAACAATATACTAAATTGTGAACAAGATTTTCGAAATTACTGGATTAACAATCAACCGATTTACGATTCTTTCACTCTTTGATCATGCTTCTCATTATAAAACTTCCAAGTAATAATTCAAACGATGTGATTGTCCATCTATTCGTCACGCAATACGGTTCATCCATTGTTCAATATTTGCACTATCGCGCAAAAGATTGAATAATGAAAGAGGAATCATGTGTTTATAATTTGCGAATCTCGCATGAATATTTTGTAATTCTGTTTCTTCCCTTGAATAGCTTTGCAATTTTCACCATCAATCACAATAGATCGTATGTATGAATGCTCATCATTATATGAATCTTGTCTAAATTCTTTCATTTTGCGAATTATTTAGTAATTAGGATTTCTTCAGCATACGCTCTTTTCCCGTGATAAATTTTTCGAATAATTCAATCGATTTATTTCGCTTATAATATAATTAGAAAGATTTAATATTAAACTCAACACTAATCTATTTTATGTTCATTTAATATTAATCGAAATTTCGATTAATATGATTAATGTTTCTTTTATCACACTACAAAATCATTTCTCATATTTGAATATAACACACAATTCTTCTGAATTATAAAGAGAAAAAATATAAAAGACAAGTGAAATAAAATGGCAAAATGTATACAAAACTAAGTTTTTTGATGTTTACCGTCAATATCTTTTTATGAATGTTTTGAATTTTCTTTTTCCTTGACATATTTTTATTGTTTATGATGTATATGTGTATTCTATTGTTTATGAATGTTCGCGAGAAGAAGGAAAGAGGGAGGGACAAAATTACCATCATGGTTTGCTAATACCATTGTGCAATATTCTTGGATTTTTAGTATTGCTAACCTCATTGTTTGATATCTTTCACGGTTCAATAATATCAATAAAATTTAAGTTAATTTCAAAAACTACGAGTTAACATATTCGGATAATCATTACACAGCTTTCAATCGAATGTTCTTGTCTCAATAACTAAAATATTTAATTTTAAGAACATTAACACTTATCATAATATCACAGAAATAGAAATGCAATTATTGATTGAAATGGATTAATTTCTTACTACTTTGATATAATTTAAAAAATCGAAAAAAACATCAAAATCGACTATATTACCATTTTGATATTAAAAGAAAACTGATCAATTAAAATTATGTCTTGTATTTATTTTATATAATAATTTTATTTATTAATATATATAATAATAAATATAATATAAATAATAAATATAATAAATATAATAATAAATATAATAATAAATATAATATAATATAAATAATATATATTATATAAATTATATTATATAATATTAATATTAATTTATTCTGTATTTATATATTTATAAATTTGTAATATATTTTATATATATTATAAATATATAATATAATTATAATTAATAATAATTAATATTAATAATTATATAAATTATTTATATATAATTATATGTATTATTGTATGCCGATTGGCATGTGCCAATTATAATTATATATATAGTATATTGTATGCTAATAAACATGACGGAAAAATAAATTTTTTATTTCAATCTGATTAAAGTCAAACTGATAATAAAAAATTAGATTTGCTATGTGAATAATTTAGCCAAACATTGGATGAAAATGATCTATGATATAAGTTATTGTATTATATTACAGAGCTATGCTAGGTAATAGTATCAATTTACAACAACATATTACTACCATTGAATTGAAACGAAAATGCTACTGATAATAAAATTCAAGAAACAGTTTAGCCGTTTCTCCAAGAATATTAAGTAAAAATTTGGGACAATTGCTTCTAAAAGTTAAGTAAATTAATAAACTAAGAAAATTAGATATTGTGATATCAAATATTTATTTGATCAATAAAGAGATTCTTGAACACGATAGTTCAAGTCATGAGTTCAATGCAATAATAATATGCAATATACATTATATATGCTTATTTTCTCAAATTCCTTTAAGAAATATATGAAAGCATTACTGAAGAGAACATTATTAAACACGTAGAAGTATTTAAAGATATCTTCATTCACGAAAAGACAAAAGAGACGTCAAGTGAGGGGGGGGGGGAAGAGAGAGAGACCAAAATAATGTGTATATTTGCGAATTAACGTGTCATTACGCGAGACAATAATCGGAAAAATAAGATCAATGCTAAAAAAGATTTTAGGAGATCATCCTAACTTTCAGTTATCGAGAATTATTATTGATTATCCGGCATCTTTTATTTATTAAGAATATATTTGAGAATAAAATACTTGAAAATTAGGAATTATTTTTTATTAAAAGATACTGCGAGGAGAATGTTATTTAATAATAATAATTTCAATGTAGTATTAACAAAAGACAATTTTCAAATATATTCGCACTTTTACACAAATCTTCTTTTCAAACTTTTATTTTTATAATTGATTTTTTTCTATTAATTATTTTTCCGTTACGTTTTGAAATTGGTAATTATTAAATACTCATCACATACAAAACTAAGTTTTTTGTTTATATATAGATTGATACATATAGATTGATTGATATAGATTTAATTATTAGTGAATATTCAAAACAAAAAAATAAATTGTAAAGGTATTTGTATAAAAAAATGCATTTTCAGTTATTTCCTTTTGAATTTCGATCATTTGATGAATTTTGATTTATTCTGGTTCTTTATGTCTTACATTTAAACCGATTAATCGAAGTTTTATTGTATATTCAATGCGCATATATAATTAATTAACAGAAAGTGAATAAATAATAAAAATAATAATAAATAAATTTGTTAAAGTTGAATAAAGTTGAATAATATATGTGATATAATACATAATAATAATAATGTATATATCGATAGGATAATGTATAAAAAGTATAAAAGTTCGATATCATAATGAAAATAAATTACGGAATAATAGCAAACAAAATAGCAAACAAAATTTTATCATTGAAATATATAAAAAAAAGAATTAACATCAATTTATTTATCATCTTCGATCAATGTAAATATGAAATACAAGGTCATTATCGGACGAAACTTTTTGTTGTAATACCACATAATTGATCATTAAATATCAAATATCAATTTTTTTTTTATATTAATGAAAAATCTTTAAGCACAAACAAGTTATAAAAATATAAAATATAAATATTGGCATTTGCAATCGTTGAATTCGATTTGTTCAACTATATCAATCATCATACATAATATCAATATCAATACATAAAAAGTATATCGTTTTGATTGATGAGTTTGTTGCATATCATCGTCGAAACTTAGGAAAAATAAAAATGGTAGCAATGGGAATTAATAACAAGATAAATAATCAAATAATTTAAATTTTTTCTTAAGTTTCAATTGATTATATGTGGAAAAAAATATTAAACTTATATTTAAAACTTACATTACATTTTTAATGATTTATACATAAAAAAAAACAAAAATAAAAATACATATAAAATTTATATAAGAAACACTTTTATAAAAAATCAAAACACTTATATAATAATATACTTATATAAGAATTGGTTAAGTTAATTAATTAAATAGAACAGTTCCATTCTATATTCTCGTAGAAAATTAAATCAATATTCATTTTTTTTTATGTTTATGTATTTGATATCAAAGAATTTATGTCCATTATAAATAAATAAATAATAAATATTATATTATATTATATCATATATAATTATCGTATATAAATAATAAATAATAAATATTATTATATAAGTTACGATGATTGTTTTATGAGATTAATTAAAAAAAAGTTAACAACTTTTCGTTCACTTTATTGAAACAATTTATCTAACAATAAGTTAGTCTGATATGAAACAAAGTGAATAAATCTCTTTCTAAAAAGATCTCTTTCTAAAAGTATTCTAGAAATATATAATTTGAAAAAATTAAGAATTTTTGAGAGATGAATGAATTAATTAAAAATTTTGAAGATTACGCTGCGGTTTTTATATTCTATTCAAGTGTAAAACCCAAACAACCAAAATTTCAAATACATATAATAACAATAATGATTTTTTTGATTCTTTAATTTTCGAAATCTATATTTTACAAATTATGCAATTATGTTCGTTATCTCCATTTATTATTAGAATGTATATATATCCAATATAACATATATATAT